CCCACTCTCTTCATATCTCTTTAATATAGTTCTGGAAGTCCTTTCTAGAGCAATAAGACTGTTGGAGGAGATCAAGTGGATACAAATTGGAAAGGAAGAAGTCAAATTATCACTATTTGCAGATGATATGATAGTATACACGAGTGACCCCAAAAACTCTACCAGGGAACTCCTACAGCTGATAAACACCTTCAGCAAAGTGGCCAGATACAAAATTAACTCAAAAAAATCAGTAGCACTCCTGTATACAAAAGACAAAAGGGCTGAGAAAGAAATTAGGGAAACAACACCCTTCACAATAGCCACAAATGACATAAAGTACCTTGGTGTAACCCTAACCAACCAAGTCAAAGACTTGTATGAAAAAAATTTCAAGTCTCTGAAGAAAGAATTAGAAGAAGATATCAGAAGATGGAAAGATCTCCCATGCTCATGGCTTGGCAGGATTAACATAGTAAAAACGGCCATCTTACCAAAAGCAATCTACAGATTCAGTGCAATTCCCATCAAATTACCAACACAATTCTTTACAGACCTGGAAAGAAAAATTCTCAACTTCATATGGAGTAAGAAGAAACCCAGAATTGCTAAAACAATCCTCTACAATAAAAGATCTTCTGGAGGTATCTCCATCCCTGATCTTAAGCTGTACTATAGAGCAACAGTTATAAAAACTGCATGGTACTGGCATAGAAACAGAATGGTAGATCAATGGAACTGAACAGAAGACCCAGAAATAAACCCACACACTTACGGACACCTGATCTTTGACAAAGATGTCAAAACCATACAATGGAGAAAAGATAGCATATTCAACAAATGGTGCTGGTCTAACTGGATATCTACATGTAGAAAAATGCAAATAGACCCATACTTATCACCCTGCACAAAACTAAAGTCCAAGTGGATCAAAGACCTCAACATAAAACCAGACATATTAAATCGGTTAGAAGAAAAATTGGGGAATACCCTAGAACTCATTGGTACAGGAGACAACTTCCTGAACAGAACACCAACAGCACAGGGACCTCATGAAACTGAAAAGCTTCTGTAAAGCAAAGGACACCGTCATCAAAACAAAATGACTGCCTACAGATTGGGAAAGAATCTTCACCAACCCTTTATCTGACAGAGGACTAATATCCAGTATATAAAAAGTAAAGAAGCTGAAAAGCAGCAAACCAAGTAATCCACTTAAAAAAATGGGGAACAGAGCTAAGCAAAGAACTCTCTGTAGAGGAATTATCGAATGGCAGAGAAACACTTAACGAAATGCTTAACCTCATTAGCCATTAGGGAAATGCAAATCAAAACGACCCTGAGATTTCACCTTACACCCATCAGAATGGCCAAGATGATAAACTCAAGTGACAACACATGCTGGAGAGGTTGTGGAGAAAGGGGAACCCTTCTCCACTGCTGGTGAGAATGTAAACTTGTACAACCACTCTGGAAATCAATCTGGCGCTTTCTCAGACAACTAGGAATAACGCTTCCTCTAAATACAGCCATAGCACTCCTAGGGATATATACAAAAGAGGCTCAAGTACACAAAAAGGACATTTGCTCAACCATGTTTGTAGCAGCTTTATTTGTAATAGCCAGAAGCTGGAAACAACCCAGATGCCCCTCAACTGAAGAATGGATGCAGAAATTGTGGTACATCTACACAATGGAGTATTACTCTGCAATGATTAATAAATAATGAAATTTGCAGGTAAATGGTGGGACCTGGAAAGGATCATCTTGAGTGAGCTGTCCCAGAAGCAGAAAGACACACACGGTATATACTCACTCATATAAACATATAACATAGGATAAACCTACTAAAATCTGTACAACTAAAGAAACTAAGCAAGAGAGAGGACCCTGACTAAAACGCTCAATCTCCATCCCGAAAGGCAAAGAGGATGGACATCAGAAGAAGAAAACAGAAAACAACCTAGGAACCTGCCACAGAGGGCCTCTGAAAGGCTCTGCCCTGCAGACTATCAAAGCAGACGATGAGACTTATGGCCAACTGTTGGGCAGAATGCATGGAATCTTATGTAAGAAGTGGGAAATAGTAAGAGCTGGAGAGGACAGGAACTCCACAAGGAGAGCAACAGAACCAGAAAATTTGAACACAGGGATCTTCCCAGAGACTCATACTCCAACCAAGTACCAGACATGGAGATAACCTAGAACCCCTGCACAGATGTAGCACAAGACAGTTCAGTGTCCAAGTGGGTTCCATAGTAATGGAAAGAGGGACTGCCTCTGACATAATCTGATTGGCCTGCTCTTTGATTACCTCCCCCTGAGGGGGGAGCAGCCTTACCAGGCCACAGAAGATGACAATGCAGCCACTCCTGATGTGATCTCATAGACTAAGATCAGAAGGAAAGAGAGGAGGTCCTCACCTATCAGTGGACTTGGGGAGAGGAATGCGTGAAGAAGGGGGAGGGAGAGTGGGATTGGGAGGGTCGAGGGAGGGGCTTGTGGGGGGATACAAAGTGAATAAAGTGTAATTAATAAAAAAAAGTACAGTCAAAAGAATCCTGTCACTTTCCCTGTATGCTCCAAGTTACTCCTGGCATCGGAAAGTCATCTAGAAATATTAACTTAAGCCCCTAACTGAAGATGAGCCTGTTCAAAAAGAGAGGACTGGGAATTCAGGTGGGAAGGGATGCTGTTACTCTCCCAACCTCTCAGTCCTTGTGGCTTCTTACCTACAGCCTGCGTCTATGCAAGCTCTGAACCAATGTCCCTGGGGGCTGTTCTAGAAGAAATGTCCTCTGTGTCAGAAATGAAGGACAGGCATCTGGGCCAAATAACCCTCATTTCTGCCCTGCGTGAAACTATTTTCACCTCTCAGTGGGTTTGATGGCAGGTGCTTACTGCTGCCTAAAAGGTCAGTCACCTAACCTCACCGAGCCTTTGTTTCTTCGATAGCAGTGTCACCTGCAGACAGGCACATAGCGCTGTGACCCGAAGAAGTGCTGCTGTCACCCCACAGGTCCTACATTGAAACTGGATCTCCAATGTGATGGGGCCACTGGATTTTGAGGGGTGAGTAGGTCATGAGGGCTCTGACAATGAAACTGGTGTCCTTACTGAAGGGACTCTGCTTGCTTTTCCTCCACATGTCAGCACACAGAAAGAACTGTCCACCACTGAAACAAAATGTGATGCCCCTGGACCTTGGAGCACCCGCTATCTAGACCTGGGAGCAATTTCTTTCTTTTGTGTAAAAATTACTCAGACTAAAAAGCATCTTGTTAGGGCAGCTAGAACTGGCCTCTTAGTGACAACACAAGCTACCCCTAGGGGCTGTCAGAAGTCAAACCTGAAGTCTGTAACTTGTGCCCTGGGGCAAAATGCAGAGAAATCACTGGATTGGTGTCTGGCAGGAAGAATAGTATAGGAATGGCAGCGGCCATCATTAGCTCAGAGGGCTGTGTGCATTATGAATATCCTTAAAACACCTCCGGATGAGCCTACCTGAAGTATGTGTACAAGGCTTTATATTTATGATAACATACTTAACCTAAGAAGACCTTCCCAGGTAGTACAGCTTCCTCTTGCCTTCTAGACACTGTTCCTACAGAGGAAGAGTGTTCTCTGGAGCCAGCACCATCTCTCTGCCTGGCCTTTCATCTTTGCCCGGATATGTCATTTAAAGCATATGGTGCAAGGCACAATTGGTTCCTACTGATTGTTACTTTAATAGGACCTAGACTCACCTATGCATCTCTGAGGGAGTTTCTGGACTGAATTCACTAGGAAGAGGTTGGAAGAAGACACGTCCTAGATATGAGTGTCATTATGACATGGGATGGGGTCCCAGTCTGAACAGAGATGAGCCTGGGAGCTGAGCACCCAGCATTTAAGTCTCAGCTCCTGACCGCAGGTACAGCGTGACCACACAGGTGCTTCATGCTCACACTGCCAATCTCTTCCCTACTGTGATGGACTGTGATGCCCTCAAACTGTGAGCCAAAATAAACCCTCCTTTCTTAAGTTGCTTAAGTTGTTAGATGTTTTGTTACAGGGGCAAAAAAAGGAATCGATGCAGAAGATAACAGACTGGCACTATTGCCTCAGAAAAATTCATCCCAACAAAGCTTGTGACACCCCTCCAACTCCACATCAGCTGGGCCAAGCTCTCTTACCATGCAACAGTTTCTTCATTCAATTGTGAATGGGATGAGTCAAAAAACAATACAAAGAAGTGAGTAAGGCTGATAGGTAGCAACCTGGGTCTTGCTGGTCGGGTATACGCTAGGTGTGCATGTGTATGCATGCCTGTGTGTGTGTGTGTGCATGTCCTAGCTATCGGCAGTCCTTCAGCCAGGAAATGGAGAAAGACTTCCATTTAGACAGTGAGAGGCTACAGTTTTTCAGTATTTTATTAAAGTAGATTGACTGTTACTTAGAAACATTATGAAATCATATATTAAAAAGGTTTACCTATGTGCAACCGTTTTATATGGGAAATATTCTTAATTATTATATTTCTTTTGCAATCCAGTTGACTAGATAGTCCTTTTCCTCTGGGAAACCTATCAGGCTTGCAAGGCTATGTTAGCATTTTACTGTCATATGCATTCTCCATTTATATATATATATATATATATATATATATTTAAAAGCCTACATGTTAGGCTTGTGTGTGTTATGACGTGTGTGTGCACCACTGCTCCTGTGTGGAGGAGGCCAGAGCACACTCTAGAGTTGGCCCTTCCCACCCACCATGAGGCTGACTGAACTCAGATCATCAGACTTGGTAGCAGGTGCCTTCACCTGCTGAGCCATTTTACATGCCCTCTGATACCATGTTTGGAACTCAGGTTTGACATCTCTCTCAGGTAGAAGGCCATAGATTGCACCACCCGGCATGTGAACCTCACGTCTTCTCCTTCTAGATCCAGTTGGGGGCCCCACATGCAATAGAGGGTGACCCCAGGTTACTGCTCCAGCGTCCCCACCCAACCCATACCAGAATATCACATCCTTACTCAGCCCAGAGACGAACTCTCGGAAGTTAATCAGGGAGTCCCCGTTCTCATCTAACAGCTGGAACAAGCGTGAGGCCAGCACGTCAGAGTGAGTGCCGCATGCCCAGGGAAAGAGAAGCGCAAACATGCCCTTGAACTGCTCAAAGTCAATGCGGTACTGCTCCAGGTAAGGCAGGCTAGGATCATGCCGGTCCAGGGCATTGCTGCTCCCGCCCCAGTAACAGCTGGTTAGATGCTCAGCCTGAAAAGGATACAGAATGGTTACTCTCACTTATGCAGCCCCAAACTGCATGGTATTATCCAAGGCAGTGTTTGGTCTGCAAATGTGCGGGCTTCCTACTCGACACAGGTGAACCTAGCTTGAGAAACCGTAAGTCTAGGAGATACCGCAGTGAGATTAAAGAGCTAGGCTCAGCAATGGCTTCCTTATACTCTGTATAAAAATCAGCAGCTCATTAGAAGAATGCAGGACCTACTACATTGATAAATTATGTATCAAGTCAGCACAGTTTGGCCTACCTACGGAGAGAGAAAAAAAGATACTGGCGCCCTCTGCTGGCTAAGTGGTAAGAGAACACATTAGTTAGACCCCTCGTATTTCTGTAAGAGCTGTTTGTTTGTGGATTATCTTTGCATTGCTCAAAAGAGCCACCTTAAATCTGTCGGTGGCTTTTGATTTTGAGACAGGGTTTCATGCAAGCCAGGCGGGCCTCAAATTTACTGTGTATTCAAGGATGATCTTGTCTCCAGCTCCCAAGTATATTGGAATAAGAGGTAGAAGCCACCACATCTGGCAGCAGATTTAGTTCAGAGAATAAATTAGAGTTTGTGGCTAGATTGCTTCTTGCTTGATGGGAGGGTTTTAAAATTTTCCCTGCCAACACTGACCTTGAAGACAGATGACAAAACAATTTTTTTTTTGTAGAAAATTATATTTAAAGATTTTTTTTAGATTTATATTTTTCTTATTAAGAATCAACAATACCAATAGTGGCTCAATGAAAACATGGAAACCATAGACATTGAACCCAGGATGCTTTTCACTAGAGTGTAGAGTTTTTGTTAGAATTTGTTTATGAACAATCTGCACAACCATGCCATATGTTGAAAACCTGGTCTCCAGAAGTTTTCAACTTGGTGACTGAATAGTGAGCGCCTGGCCTTCATCAGTGGATTAATCACTTGTTGGCTTTATTGGGACGCAACGGAAATTCCTGGAAGTGGGGTCTGGTTAGAGGAAGTGGGTCATATTATTGTCTTGAACCCTCTCTTAGTATATTTCTGTTCCCGACTTTGTTTCCCCATTCCCCATGATGCTTTGCATTATCACAGTCCAGCACTGACAGAGCTGGCCGACCATGGGCCGGAAGACCTCTGAAACAGTGAACTCTAGCCAGGCTTCCTAACCCAGCATGCTCCTTTTTCTTCTAGCTGTATATTATTTTTCCTTAAAGGTGATTTGGAGTTTAGCAGGGGAAATTATAAGCTATAAATTTTTCAGGCAGAATTTGAACTTGATCACCATTTTATGGAGGTTTAGAAATCAAACTCTCATATTGTAAGGTCCAAGAAAACTAACCATATCATATGGTGAGGAAGTGAACTAAAGCACCAACTTAAACTAGTGCTAATAATTGATTTACTTTTCCTACTAAGTAGGGCAGCTTTGTTCTCCCAGCTGTCTTCTTCCTTGTGCATGTTGGGAACCCATGGAAACCCTACATCACCTAACAGAATGATGGAGAACTCGAAATGATTAAGGCAAGCTCCTTTCATCCTTTTGAGGGGGCATGAGTCTACTCTCTCACCTTGAAGAGAGCATAGAGCTCCTCCAGCTCGTCCATGGTAAAGGAGGTTTCCGTCACGATGGTCCGCACCTGTGAGGGAGCAGGCGCAGTGAGTCCTACAGACCCAGAGTTCGTCAGACTGGAACTGCGAAGGCAGCAGGAGGGTGAGGAAGTTGGGGGCGGTGAGGTGCCCCCCAGCCCCTGCTCCCTTCAAAGGGCTTTTACCACGTTGCGTTTGGTGGTGTCCTCCAAGGTCTGGATCACTTTCAGCCTCTGCTTGAATCTCATCTGCTCAATCAAATCTGCCCGGATAGTTCCAAATTTCTGGAAAGGAAGGCACAATATCGGCATTTCTGGAAAAATAAGTGTGCTGAAGCAAACAGAGTCATACATGAAGACTGGTGGTCATATTCATGACACATAGAATAAATCCTTCCAGGACAGTGACCTACTAGATTTCATGTTGGAAAGGCATTTAGGGATATAGATTAATAATCCACAGATTCTCCCATGTCCAGTGACAGAACTAAATTTCACAGTCACATGTATTTTCCTTGAGTCAATAACCCATCAAGAAGAAAGCATAGAGATGAGGCTGTGTGAATAAACGCTTAAGGGCACGGGACACTCTAAGACTCAGAGATGAGACGGCTGGAGAATGCTTGCTGATCTCCATGTTCCTTTAACAGCATATGCTGGGTTCAGACATCCACACTGGCATTCTGTGAGCTGGCCATCTCTTCAAACTCTAACATGCCTAGCACTGACCACAAGTTTTCCAAAAGGAAGACATAATATTTATTTCCACTAAGCAGCCCAATTCAGGAGTTGGTAAGAATTACCATTAATGGTGGAATAATTCACTCTACGGTTAACTGTGGCTGGGAGAGGAAAGCTCCCGAGGGAGGAAAGTCTCTGATCCAAACAGTAGCTCAGTGAGCATCGGCTCCAAAGTGTCTGTGTGGGGCTGTGTGACAGCTCAGCCCATAAGGGGCTTGCTTCTCAGGGTTGAGGAACTGAGTTCTAATCCCCAGAAGCTTTACAAGAAAGAAAGAAAGAAAGAAAGAAAGAAAGAAAGAAAGAAAGAAAGAAAGAAAGAAAGAAAGAAAGAAAGAGACCAGAGGATTTCTGAGGCTTTCTGGAAAGGTAGCCAATTGTGGGGCTCTGTGTTCAGTAAAAGGAGCCTGTTTCATAAAAGTAAAGTGGAGAGCAATTGATTTAGAAAACTGGCCTCTACATGTGTACACACATGTATGTGTGCACATGTATGCGTACACACACACACACACACACACACACACACACACACACACACACACAGTAACCATCAGAGGCCAAGTGTGGGGCTAAGATTTTCTAGCACTCAAGAGGCTGAGACAGGAGGATTGACTTTACTTCTGAGACAAGGGCAAGGCATTGGAAATGTTCCTCCATCTTGTATTCTTGCTGAGGTCACTGCAGGTTTGACTAGAATCTAATCTCCTTGATGGAGAATTCCACGGAAAATTACTCAGCTCTACTCTAGGATTCTAAGGTCAAGATGCCCCAGCTAATTTATCTAACTGATCTTAGCTGTGTGTACAGGACCCCTGCGGCCAGCCGCTTATCTTAGCTGCTTCTGCTAAAGCTGCCAAGTCAGGTACCAGAGCAGTTTCTGCCTTCAAACACCCAGTGTTCGGGACACTTGGGGACACATCTAGCTCCCTGAATACCTGGCTGTGGTCCCAGTCATGGAATAACAGATTTTCTATTGTATGTAAACTGTGCCTGAGTGATCTACAGTGGGTAACTATAACACTTTAAGGATTGCCCAAGGTACATAACAAGACTTCTCAGTAAGAAGAAAAACATTAAAAAATAAATAAACAATCTTCACACCTGAAACTGTCTACCTCAGGAGAATTCTGAATGGGAATAGGAATGAGTGATCTATGAAGGTCTCCCGTGACTGCTCCTCAGCCTATAGAGAGTTGAATCTGACATGCTTCTAGATCAGGTGTCAGAGGGCCAGAGCTTGCCATGCCATTTATGATGAATGTTAACGACCACGAGAAATCCCGGGATCCTTTCAGTGTCCATCTTTAAGACCAAAACTGTTAGCTTACAGAGATTTACTTGTGGACAAATGCTATGGAAAGGGCTTGCAGAAGACTCTTCTGAGGCTGCCCCATGAAGACATGGTTCTTCTCATGTGCTGGACACAGATGGCATCCAAAGAAACAGAAAGATAGGGTTCTAACTTGTAAGCAACTGGCCTTAGGCTTCCATTCTATTCTATCTAGAATAGCAGTTCTCAACATGTGGGTCACGACCCCTGAGTGCAGCAACAAAATTATAGTTCTGAAGTAGTAACAATATAATTTTATGGTTGGGGGTCACCACAGCAGGAAGAACTGTGTTAGAGGATCCCAGCGTTAGGGAGGTTGAGAACCGCTGCTCTAGAGCTCTGAGAAATCCATCGTTAATCGTTATGAAGCAGCTGGACTGTCACATGCTATGAGGAGAGCACAGGCTGGATTGAGACCAGTTAGGAAAGGCAGCAGGGGCCCACAAGCAGCTGATCCAGCTGGGAGTACAGGAACACTGTTACCACATGGCTACTAAGCAAAACTTACCTCATAGGATGTCCCTATGAGCCTGAAGATGTCCACTGCAGGGTAGGGCCCCACATCATCACTGAGCAGAGAGTGGAGGTGAGGGATGGGAGGCAGGGTGCTGTCTTTGTTGGTAATGCTGTCTAAGTACCTTAGACAAGATATGAACCAGTTGTCACTGGAAATGAACTGGAATGCCTTCATGATAGACCTCAAATTGTACATATTAAAACAAAAATCTAAGATTTTCTTGTTTCTTTTTGTTTCTTTCTTTCTCTCTCTTTCAAGCCCTGAGCATTGAACCTAGTGCCTTGTACATGCTAAACAATTCAAGAGCCCCAGGCCCCCCTTCAGTTTTTATTTTGAGATTGGTTGTCATTAACTTGGCCAGGTTGGCTTTGAAAATATGATTTTCCTGACTCAGCTTTCTGAACAGCTGGGGTTACAGTGTGCAAGACCAGGCCTTACTAAGATTTTCTAAAATAAAAATAAAAAAAAGAAACTCCCGTTACTTCTAAAGAAAAGGAATATTGGTCTGGAGAGATGGTTAAAGGGTTAAGGTCGTATAATCCTGAGGACTGGAGTTTGGATCTCAGCACTCAGCACAAGCCAAATCTCCAGCACACTGTAAACTCCAACTTCAAGGAAGACAAAGGAGACAGGAGGATTGTTGGGGTTCTCTGGCTTCCAATCTAACCGAGGAAACATGAGTCCCTGGTTCAGTGGGAGACCCCGCCCCAACAGGACAGGTAGAGAGTGCTGGATGAAGATACCTAATGCTCTGTGCTTGTGCACACCAGGGCATTTACTTGCAAATACATGTACACAAATATCCTAGATGTCCAGATAACAAATAAACACTAAAAATGAAAAAGAATATGAAAATATGTCCCTGGCCACAGAGAATAATAAGCTTTTTGATGAGGTCAAACTCTTGAGGTAGCCCCAAAGCCAGGCCACAGCACTGTACCTTCCCAACACAGTCATGGCCTCTCCATCGTCCCTGCAGTCTAACAGCTTGTCCACGTTGGCCTCCAGTACAGCGAGGGCCAACTGGAATATCACTTTGATTCCTTCATAGAAGAAACAGTCCACAACCACCACCGCACTCTCGAATGGCATCACACTGAGAAAGAGGGTCAGGAACCATGACAGGGAGATGGTAGAGATCACCCCCAGGTCCTGCATGCAGTCGTAAAGCTGTGGGACATAGTCCCGGGCCAGCTCCTCGAAGACTCCCTGGTCCACCAGGGCACCTGGGCAGGTGGCACAAAATGGTCAGTTAGCCTTACATACTCAAATAGACTGCAGTCCACTTTCATTTCTGTTGCTGCGGCAAAAACACCTACAGAAAAAGCAACTTAGGGGAGAAAGGGTTTAATCTGGCTCACAGTTCCAGGCTCATAGACCATAAACCACTGCAGGGCAGCATGAGTCCAAAGCAGCTGTTCATAAACACAGGTTATAGCAGAGAGAAACGAACACAGCGATGTTCACTGCTTGGCTAGCTTCCTCTATGCTTATACACCCAGGGCCCCAAAACAGGGAATGGTGCTGCCCACTCAGCCTGCGTCTTCTCACATCACGGAAGGCAGCTAAGACAATCCTCTGCAGATGTTCCCACAGGCTCATCTATCTAGGTGACTCTGGGTTGTAACAAGTTGACAATGAGTACTGACCATCACATTTGCTAAACCCTTGTTTATATGCATAATCTGTAGCTATGGGGTCCCAAGACACGGCTTGCTTTTTAATGCCTTTTAAAAAATTTATTTAAAGAAATTCTGGCTGTAGGCATTCACCACATGTTAAGCTGGTGTCATGCATGCACTGGTCAGTTTTACTGGATTTAGAATCACCTAGGAGACACACCTTTGAGCATTCCTGGGGAGATGTTACTGGAGAAGTCTAGCTACACAGGTAAGGGCCACACAGAATGTGGGCAGCACTGTCCTGGGGGCTGGGATCCTGGACTAAGGAAGAAAAGAAGAAAGCAGACCACGCATCAACATCGACCTCTCTCTCTGTTTTCTGACCGGGATCCAAGGTGACCAGCTGTCTCGTGGTCCCACTGCCGTGACCCAGAATGGTAAAATTCTGAGCCACGATCAACCCATAGGAATTTTGTGACAGCTATGAGGAGAAGAACCAATATAATGCTACAGTCTTCCTCCCACTGAGGTAGGTTAAGGCGTGTCACCACAACCCCACATACCTACAACCCTGGTGTTGTAGTAATCGGGCAGCATGCGCTCACACAAGGCCACAAGCAGCCAGAACGCCTCCTCTTCTTTGGCATAAAGGAGCAGCACTGAAGTGACAATGTTCATGGCCTGATGGGAGGAGAGAGGACACCATCAAACGCAGCCTGAACACAGCAAATGCATTTTACACAGAAGCCATCTTGTTAGCTGGTGAGAGGCTACGCCCACTTCAAGTTACTCCAAACTGTGGAGAGCAGTGGTATTTTAGGGCATGCCATTTATTATTATTGTTGTTGTTGGTTTTCGAGATAGGGTTTCTCTGTGTGACCTTAACTGTCCTGGACTCCCTTTGTAGACCAGGCTGGCCTTGAACTCACAGCGATCTGCCCGCCTCTGACTGCCTGAGTGCTGGGATTACAGGTGTGCGCCACTGCTGCCAGCTCAGGGTGTGCCATTTGACAAGCAGCCTCTACCTCCATTTTAAGAGGAAGGGTGACTGTGCACCTGGGTGAACACACGAATAGCCATCTGTCTGGTGTAGCTCAGACTGAGAAAGGGAGGCTATTCCTGAAAGTGTATAGGTGCCATCCTATAAATTAACTGGGCTGGACTGAGACTGGAGGGGCTTGTGGGAGTATCACAATTCTATCCGGAAATTCAGGCCCAGGAGCTTGCTGGACATGCCAGACTGAAGAAGGGGTTAACCCCCTCACCTGGATCCCATAAAGAGAAGGACTCCCAGGACTGCACTGGGGACAGCTGCCGCCAGCTTGTCATCTGATACCCACTGAATACATCTGGGACCTACAGGCACAGAACCGCTGAGTGTCGCAGGGACATCCCAGTGGCTGGGTCTCCACTGTGACAAAGCTGAGTTTCCTGGGCCTCTGTTTATCCGTCCACTGTGCGTTTCTTCCTCTGATGCAGACTGCCTGTTTGCCTCTCCAGCCACACTGAGCTCTGTAGCTGTGCCAAAGCTGTGACGCCTCAGCACCATGCTACCACGGCAGCTTCCTCCTGGGTCCCTTATCAGTGCAGCCCTATTGACATTTCTGTCAGCCCGTGTCTGAAGCCCAAGACGCTTACACAGCCAACCCTATCTATCCATTCTATGTCACAGTCAGACAGACAGACTGTATCATGTTTAACACGAGAATTAATAGTAATAATCAAGATTGGAGTTAAAAACTTGTGTTTGGCTGAGCCAGAGTACCAAGGAAGTGGAAATATCTGGCAAGTTGTTGCCACTGAACGCCTGGCACCTTCTGGATTTATTGTTATTCCAGCATTTTGAGAAGACAGAAGTGTGTTTTTCTATGTTCCTGGCATAGTTCTCTCACAACACTGACCAAAAAAAAAAAAAAAAAAAAAAAAAAAAGGCTAATAAACTCCCAAGAAAAACCCAATTAACAAGCTTAGGATTTCCAGGCCACAAAAGCTTGGTGAGTACTTAGTTCTGTTCGCTTATGTGCCTTAGAGTGGAAAGGCCATTCGTCCTCTTCAGCTGAGGAGCTTTCCTCACTGCCGCCATTGCTCACCTGACTGAGGCATGCACAGGCAAGCCCTGCGACTGCCCTGAGCCTGTTTGACAAAGCTTTCAGCCTGCTAATTCCCTCTAGTATTCTTAATCCTTAACTCAGTGGAGGAAACTATCTCCCTCTAACTCCCATAAGTAGTTCCTATTACCAAGTACACAGGGCTCCAGGCTGCCCTCAGAGAACAAGGAAACCTTTCTTTGTTCTTTCTGAGTTGGTGCCCTCCTCCCTTATTTTCATCTAAGAAAAGATGCTCAAGGTAATTAAAGTGATTTAAATTCTAAAGTAATTCTATTTTATTAAAAGATATTATCAGAAACCTCATAACTGCTAAGAGGGTCAACATGAACTGTCCCTTAATTAAAATATGAAGATCAAAAGATAAAAATAAACTCTATTCTGTCCGAAGCCAAGTAGCTTGTGAGTCCCTTTTGATCTTCTAGAAACCAGTACCAATTTACTGTGCAACACAACCCCCCTAAAAGGTGTCTGACTGAAAAGGTTCTTTCTCGAAAGCCTTGGTATTCCAAGGAAAGTGCTTATTAAAATTCCACACAAGAATAAGCCTGCCAGTTCTAGTCTGTGGTCTTGATCAAGGGCAGCTCCTCAGCCATTCCGGCAAGACAGGGTTTCGTGGTTTTACTTTATAATGGACTCCAGATGGGATGGGAGAGCAGGGGGAAGCTGGGATGATGAGCTCGTGAGCCTTGACTGCTGCTACCAGAGAGAAAAAACAAAACTGTACAATCAGTGAAGCAATTTGGGGATATATTTAAATTGGGTGCCATCAGAAAGGTAAATGTGCTATAGGGAAACAGTTGTGAGGTGTGTATGTGTCAGACTTATGATCGAGGCACTAGTACAAGGCATTATTTTAATTCTATGTGGGCAATATTTTTTGTTAGTCTGCATTAAACATTTACTTTGACATGTGTCAAAACCTAACCCTAGCGTGTGAAAGCTGTGTTCAGTGATATGACATGCCTGAGAAAAGGCAGTAGGAGCAGAGGGAAGACCCAGCAGAAGGCTCTGAAGCTGCTCCTCCACCACAGTAGAATGGCAACCTCCAGACTGATCAAAAGACCTTTCCTGCCACCCAGCTAAACAAGGACTGGCCCGGAGAAGCCGCTGTTGCCTTTGGCTGTCTTCTCAGGGCAGGAGTTATCAGTTAGGGTGAAGTGTTCCTCTGGGAGACCTTGCAACATCTAGAGGGGATTTAATCTTCAGCATGGGGGTTTCTGCTGTTACCAAGTGGCTAGGGTCAGAGGTATCGTTGAGCATGCAACACAATACCGGGGAGCCTCCGGGACAAAGGGCCTCTTGCTGTAGAAATAACAGGCCCTCCCAGCGAGAAATCGCTCCACACACTTACAGATGGAGGAAAAGCTCTTCACTGAAGTGTGTGCACGGCTGAGTGGAGGTGACCTCCAAAAGGAGATTTTGCTAAGTACTGCATACCTCAGGGATATTTATTTCACACACACTGTTACCTTTAAATCATCTTCATGCCCCAGCTCCAGTTATACCTTGAAACATTTATACAGACCCTGAAGACTTGCAAGTCTGGGATTGGGCGGATAGAGACTTAGCACACACACCATTACAGTTGTTATTTTTTGAAGAGACTGGTGTTGTTTTCAATAGTCCTCAGCAGGCCTGAGGGCTGCTCACTCCTGGTGAACAAATGTTTACATCCCTGCACTGTGAATTCTGCTCATCTCTAACAGGTCTGCTTTGCATACTTTCTCATTTTTGGAGAACCTGGGGGGACAGAGCTCCCTGAGCTAAATTCTGCTTTGTGTGATTTAACATTTCCTAAGCAAATCTATTCACAAAACCTTTATAATATCAACCCACCACTTTGAGTTTCTCCTATGTCCCTCTAACCCACAATGCTGATAGTGCCAGGGTTGAGAACCCGCTGCAGTGACCTCCTTTAGCCATGGAGCTTTCCTGTCCGCTATCTGCTGGCAAACAAAACAAAAGAAAGAGTTTTGTCAGTCTTCAGCTGGAGGTTTGTTCTGCAGTAGACTGAGCAACTAGGCCCCAAAGATATGATGAACACTGGGTGGGTCAACTCAGAGTCCCCCAGACAGCTGTGAGGTTTGGGGTGCAGCCTAGCTGATGATGGTGCAGCCTAGCCAGGCCAGCCTCCTTCAAGAGAAGAGGCGTATAGTAGCGTCACCATTTCCCCAAATAAACTTTTCAACTTTGGGGATACTTAAACCCCTATACACATTCTGGCTTCTTGCATGTCTCCTGACAACAGACTGACATCTGTGTAAAACAGTGTTTTTAAGAAAAGCAGCCCCTTTCCTATAAGTGTCCATGCTGAGGGAGGCATGATAGATGCATGACGGATAACTGGGAGAAGAGAATTATCAATCCGCTGCCTGCTGGGTTTGGGGCCCTTACTGCTCAGCTGGACCAGCCCTGGCTTCCTTCCTTGCTCTGATTAAGCTCTTGGCTGGATGTTCTGATGCTGAGGCCCATATGAATTCTCCTCCTTCAGATTGCGAGAACTGAGGCTGCAGGTTGCGTAAAGATCAGAGGACACTTAGAGCCCTCCCCGAACATAAACTCGTGGCAATTACCTGGCAATACCCTATGTTGGGATTGCGAAAAGCATAAGCCGTTAAGACTCTCCTCAGAGCTGCAATGCCCATCTCGTTCTGGAAAGCTGGGTGCTCTGGAAGGGAGCGGTGTAAGTCTCTCTCAATCTCCTCGGTGGCGAGATTGTACTTCCCCATAGACTTCTCCACTAGGTCCGCATAGTACCCGGGGTGTGTGGCCTTTTCGTTGATGGCCCCTGGGAAGCACAGAGATAGGACATCAAGAAAGCTGAAGTCCTGAATTTCCAGCTATAGATAATGCTGATTGGCTGAAACTCTCTGTTTTCCTACCAATCAAGGAAAACTGAAAAAAAAAAATCACCTACATCCAGACTGGAAATTTACCCCCTTTCTCCTTCAGCGTCACATCAACATAGTCAGCCCACCTCCCCACACGAGCTAGAGGTCCACAAAACTGTGTTCCGAGCTTACACAGACAGAAGAGGAAAGCTGGAGTGAGCCAGGCTGAATTCTCACTCTTGATTGCTCTCTTAGCTTTTCTTTTATGAGAGAATCTGTTAAAAATTTCACCTGAGAAAGATGAATGCCTCTCAAAATAACTCTCAGGCCTATTTCTTAAAGATCAGCTGCGAAGAACACAACAATAGTAACAGGAGAGTAGAAGGAAGCCACCACAGAATCCATTGTTTTCCACAGCTGCAGGCAATGGTGAGGGTTTGCCTAGGAACGGTGGGTTCGAACTGGTGATGGGGGAGCCCTTAGGTTGTAGGGATGGGTTGCAGGATGAGGCCAAAAATTGCTAATTTGAGATGTTTATGTTAATATTCTCAAAGACAGAAAAGCCCTGTGTGTGCCAATACCTGAAGCTCAGCCTCGGCGTGTCTCTGCATTGCTGCTGGAACACGGCACACCCACACACAGACGTACGCAACTAGACCCTCCCTTCACACACAACACACACAAGGACCAGAGCATAAGCCGTAAAGCCAGTAAGCTACCAGAGAAAGCAGGAAGGACATTTCTTGACAGAACAATTAGGTTTTTCGGATGCTACCAACCATATCTGCAGGGTACAGGCAGTAAACATAGAAACAGGTAAGATCACGTAAGTTCAAAAGCTTGACTCAACAAAGAGAGCAATCAACAGAGTGTAAGGGAAACCAACAGGACAGAAGTAAGCACCACGTATCAGATAAAGAGCCATTATCCAAAGTACAAAACTATACAGGGAACTTGGGTGTCTTGGCAAAAGTGCTGGCCAAAGCATGATCACCTGAGTTTAATCCCTGGGACCCAGTGAGGAAAGAGAGAATCAATGCTAAACACTTTGTTCTCTGACAGCAACGTGTGCACCGTGGCAGACACACAACATATACTCGTACTAATAATAAATAAAATAGTGAAAAATAAGATAGAGGCTGGAGAGACGGCTTAGCACTTAAGAGCACTTCTGCTCTTTCAGAGGACTTGAGTTCTGGGGCACTCTAATGGTTGTAACTCCTGGTCCAGGGGATTTAATGACCAGTGACAATTATACACACAGACGCATGCTAAAACACAAATAATTCATGATAAACAATAACTTTAAAAACGTACAAGAAAACCATATAAAAACAATAGCAAAAAAACCCCACTAAATAATAAAAAAAAAAATCAGGAAATGCCTAATTAAAAGTAGGCAAAGAAACAGACATTACTCAAAAAGAGATGTAGCACTAGGCAAAAAGTACATGGGTCACTAGGCAAATGTAAACCAAAACCATACAAGACAAAAAAAAAAAAAATGGATATAGTAAAGATGCAGGGTACAGGATAAACATACAAAAAAACTCCAAATGTCTATGTTATCAATGAACAATTCTCAAATGAAAACAATTCCATTTATTAAAGAATCAAAATTAAAATATTTAAGAGTATAATGAAATAACTGCCAAACGTAACAAGCTATAAACATAGCTCAAAGAAATGAACAAAGATCCAAACACCTTAAAAAAAGATCCTCTGTCCATAGATTAGAAGATAATACTGCTAAAACAGAAAAACAAACAAACAAACAAACAAACAAACCACTTGAAAGAGAAAACAAATATTGGAAGGCTTGCATTCCTTTGTCTTACATCTTACTACAATGTTACCGTGACTGAGGCGACCACGTTACAGTGTGTGATGCTGGCATAAACAGATGATAAATCATTGGATTAAAACTTCTCCGTTAGGGGCGAATCACTGGATGTGTAGCCTCATCAGAAAAGTGAAGATGCAGGGCTGCTAGTTGAGGAAACAGACAGGCTTTGAAACTATTTCTTATCAGGTATTGTAAAATGTGTGCACGGCCTTTGTTGTTGTTGCTCAGGAATTGGTAGAGGAGGTAAGATGAGTTGACCTTTCCCCCCAGCTTTCCTAATCAGTGGTATATAACCAGGGAGTAAAATCCGACCTTAGCCTATTGACAAGATCCTGTCCTTTGTAAAGTTCGTCGCATCCTCAGCACATAGGAGCTACCTAGTTGTAGTCTAGTAATTCACTGTGGTTAACTATGAGCCAGTGATGTCATTCTATCGTGGGCTTTTGTCACACCATTGATGTGACTTTAATAAGCACAGTGACTTTGCCAACTGCACAGAGGCCTATCAGTGACTTGTGTATAGCATGATGTCCTCTATCTGAGTTGGACATGTAGAATCACTTTTGATTTCATGGCAGTTGACAGTCCTAACGGCTCAGCTAATTTGAAAGTAACAACTTTGCTGCGTAAGAGGAAAAATGGTGTTGTGCTCAGTAAATGTTTGGAAAAAAAAACTTGAAGTCTAGATATAAACCCCCATGTTTATGGTCTTTGTGTTTCCTTTTTGAAAAGGTGTTAAGATAATTCAAGGCAGAGAAGCAGAGTTTTTTCAACAAATAATGCCAGGACCACATGGCATTTATATAGAAAGAAGTGAAGTTAGGCCATTCCTTCCAGCACACAGAAAGTTAACTCAAAAGGAATTAAAGTTCAAGTATTGCCAGAAAACACAGGGCTAAGCCAGTGCTTCTCGAGTTATGGTGACCCCCAACCATAAAATTATTTTGTTGCTACTTCATAACTGTAATTTTGCTACTGTTCTGAATCATAGTGTAAATATTTGCATTTTCTGGTGGTCTTAGGTGACCCCAGGAATGGGTTGTGACCCACAGGTTGAGAACCACTGGTCTAAGCTTTCTTGCCTTAAAAGTACAGTGGCAAAAGAAAAAAACATACTCCTTTGGGATTTTAAAAATTTTGCTTTCAAAGGCCAGCATTTAGACAGTGAAAACACAGGCAACAGAATGGAATAGTTTAAAAAATATATCATTGGAGATTTGTATCCAAAACCAATTAAAAAATTCTTACAACCCAGTAATTGAAATATTACCGAATTAAAAATGGGCAGAAGACCTCAGTAGATATTTCTACAGAAAAACTATACAAACAGCCAATGAGTGATTGGGGAAATTAATCAGAGCCATAATTAGGAAACTGGTCAAACTGCACAGAATAAGTGGCTGTGGAAAGCTCAACTCTAATGGGGTATCCAAACCCTGCCTTCACTCCCTTCCCCACCCCCAGGCTCAGGAAACCACACGGAACAGGCAGTGGAGAGGTGCGAGAGGCTGGGGAGGACTGCCGTCAAACAGTGCCTTCAGGACTTGAGGAGGCAGTTGTATTCACGAGCTCACTAAGCCGCTTCTAGCTGAGAGAGCTGCCAGTGAAGAAAGAGTCAGTTTTGCTCAAGGGTGTGGTCTCTGGTATGCTGACCACACTACAGTGTATGGCCAAACCCATACGCACATTAATTGTTTTAAGTTGGTTCTAGGAAGAAAGGGAGGGAGGAAGGAAGGAAAAAGAACACATGAAATTAAGAGTTGGGGAAGCAAGAATTCTACTACTACCAATGCAACTTTAATTACCTCAAGATCCAGCTACACCACTCTGGGACATATACCTGAAAAACGTTCCACCATTCGACAAGGATATTTGCTCAGCTATGTTCATAGAAGCTTTATTCATAATAGCCAGAATCTGGAAACAACCTAGATGTCCCTCAACCAAAGAATGGTTACAGAAATTGTGTCACATTTACACAATGGAGTACTACTCAGCTATTTAAAACAAGGCAATCATGAAATTTGTAGGCAAATGAATGGAACTAAAAAAGATCACCCTGAGTGAGGTAACCCAGAACCAGAAAGACACTCAAGGTATAAACTCACTTGTAAGCGGATATTAGACATATAGTATAGGATAACCATACTAAAACCTACAGACCTAAAGAAGTTAAACAACAAGGAGGACCCTAGGGAGGATGCTTAAATCTCATTCAGAAGGGCATATAGAATAGACACCAGAAGTGGTGGAAGAGAGGAAACAGAACGGGAGCCTAACATAGAGGTCCTCTGAAAGGATCCACCCAACAGGGGATCAAAGCAGATGCACAGACCCACAGCCAAACTTTGGGCAGAGTGCAGGGAGTCTTATGGAAGAAGAGGGGATAGAAGGACCTGGAGGGGACAGGAGCTCCACAAGGAGACCAAGAAAGCCAAAATATATGGGCCCAGCGATCCCTGCCGAGATTGATGCACCAATCAAGGACTATGCATGGAGGGGACCTAGACCCCCTGCTCAGATGTAGCTATTGGCAGGTCAGTCTCCATGTGGGTTCCCAAGTAAGGGGAGCAGGGGCTGTCTCTGACATGAAGTTGGTTGCCTGCTCTTTGATCACTTCCCCCTGGTGAAGCAGCCTTGCCAGGCCACAGAGAGACAGAGAGAGGATCCAGACAGTTTCAATGAGACCTGATAAGCTAGGGTCAGATGGCAGGGGAGAAGAACTCCCCCTTTCAGTGAACTAGGGGAAGGGGACAAGGGGGAAGAGGAAAGGAGGATGGAACAAGGAAGAGATGAGGGAGGGGGCTTCATTTGGGATATAAAATGAATAAATTGTAAAAAAATAAAAATTAAGTTTAAAAAAAAGGAAAAAAAAAAAGAGTTGGAGGACTGCTTGTGGTGATAGGTCCAGAAAGAGGTGGAGGGGAATAAGGGTGAATATGATAAAAACACAATATGTACATGTATGAAATACTCAACAATAAATTAAAAGAATACCCAAACCTTCCATAGTAATGGGAATGGAGACTGTTTCTGACATGAGTTGATTGGCCTGCTCTTTGGTCGCCTCCCCCTGAGGGGGGAGCAGCCTTACCAGGCCACAGAGGAAGACAATGCAGCCACTCCTGATGAGACCTAACAGACTAGAATCAGAAGGAAGAAAAAGAAACCCTCCCCTACCAGTGGACTTGGGGAGGGGTGTGTGTGGAGAAGGGGAAGGAAGGGAGGAGTTGGGAGAGGAGGAGGGAGGGAACTAGAGGGGGGATACAAAGTAAATAAAGTATAATTAAAAATTAAATTAAATTAAATTAAATTAAATTAAAATTTAAAAAAAGAAGACCCAAACCAACAAAAACAACCTCCCTAAACCCAAGCCACCCCACAGAAAGCACGTCACACCCACTAGGAATGAGCTGATAGAAGGCAGTAAGGACCCATGGGGACTGCAGAAACTGGAACGATCACTAGTGGGGATGTGGAAAGATGAAGCCAGCCTCCCAGGGGTTGCTTAAAAGGGAGAGTGGAGTCCTTGGAAGGGCTAGAAATCCTACTCTCACATAACACAAAAGTATTTGAGAGTATTCATTAATGCCTAGGGTGAGTAACGGAACAGCCTGAACTGTCTGTCAGCAGATAAATGCATCAAGCGCAGTCCTGGGCTCTGAAAGAGTGAAAAATGTTGATACAGGATGCAGCATGCTTGAGCCCTGCAGACATTATCCTATGGAGAAGTCAGTCATGAAATGCTGAACACTGATTTCACCCACATGAGATGTTCAGAGCAGACAATCTACAGCAACAGAAAGTAGGGCAGCAGTTGCCCATGGCTTGGAGGAGTCTTGAGGGGAAAGGAAGAAAAACTGACAAAAGGCATGTAATATTTGCCTGACAGTGGTGACGATGTTCTAAAACTCACTGTGCTGACCACGACATGGTTCTACGGATATTCTAGATCATCGCATCGCATTTCATAAATCTTCAGTCATAGCTCAAAAAAGGTTGAATTTAGAATGAACAGTAAGATATGCAGAGAATGACAAAGCAAATGTTTACATTTCATTTTAGGAAACAGTGTCGCCAGACCAATGGTTGGCTCAGTCCTTGTGCCTGACAATCACAGGCCGACTGGTTGACAGCATCCTGACACTGGCTTCTGCTCTGCTTTCCCTGGGGACTGACTGAACTTGGCTTCAGTGGTTCCACAGTCCAGACCTGCAACAGCCTTTAGGGTCATGCAAAGCAGGTGGATCTCAACATGGGTTTCCCAAACAGAGGCTGGACTACCTTTATGGGCAGGCTGACTCCCACATCCACCCCACCCGTAGGTATGTGCACGAACTTCAACAGAGTAGGGTGTAGACACACTGCCCTTTGGTCACACGTATCTGTTAAACAAGCACTAAGTAGAACCTCCACCTACGTCTCTGTGAGTTGGGTGCTGCTGCAGCTGCTGTGTACTGGTTTCATGGTGAATTCATTCGAATCTAAAATGTGGCTATAAATAAATTCTCATCTGAAGAAGGAGAGAAGTGAACTTTTCCTGTACTCTGTCAAAGCTTTGAATCTGGTTGTCAAGGTGACCAGTTCACCATACACAGGGAAGAGCAAGAGAAAGCTGTAAGAGAACTCTAGATAGTAACTATCTTCTCTGATGTAATTAGAGGCCATGCTCAAATTTAGGCTTCTTTTTGCTTTTTCTGAAAGAGTGTCTTTTTAAGGAGCTTGGGTTGGTGTTGGATTCACTGTGCAGGCCAGGCTGGCCTCAAAGTTGTAGAGATTGTCCTGCCTCAGCCTCCCTAGCCTTAGGATTACAAGTTGCCCAGCTCACATTTAACTTCTACGTGAGGACCTGTGTCTGATCTATGTAATGAACTAGGGCAAAAATCAAACAATCCAACTTTACTATTTTAGGAATTTGATCCTTTTATTGCTAAGATATATCCTATGATAGGTAATTTTACCATTTATATCTACTTTTAGAAAGATCTACAAGCATTTACAAGGCTTTCTTGTAAACCCAGTAACTTTATTTTTAAGTTTCAACACCATTTTTTTTTTAAGTAAAAAGATGGCTCTTGGATGGGGTCATCTCAAGGTTCAGAAAAAAAGTATTCCCATGGACTTACAATGGTAACATCTCCTATCTTACCTTCATTGGGCTAAAGCAATGATCTGTGAGTAAAGTGAAGATTGGCAACAACCAGAGGTAAATTCTGGTGGGGTACAAGATCCCTGGGGTGCACTAGATGTTTCGGGTGGCAAAATAGTGGTGGCTTATCTGAAAAGACTAAAATATTAAGGCAAAAAAATAGTGAGTGGAAAAAATCATAGACATTAGCTCATCATTTTAGATGATCTTTATTGTGTTATATTGTTATAAAGGTTTTATCTTATTATTGTTCATTAATACCTTTCTTTGCCTAGGTAATAAGTTGCCTTTGTTATAAATGTGCATGTGTAGGAAAATCTATAGTATATATGGATCGAATACTGCCGTGTTTGCAGGCACTGACGGCGGGGGGGGGGGTGGAAAGCATCCCAGGAGGACCAAGTGTAATGTTAGTGGCGTTAGTTATCGCTGGGAGACCTTTCTTCAGTGGTTTAGATTCCAATATGTGGCCCATGCTCCTGTACATACTCTCCCACCCATGCTCAAATAGATAAGTAAGCCTAGTTCAGCTCCCTGGGTCACTAACTAGACTCCAGTGAATTCTTTTCCTAGTTAGCCACTGCTGCCCCAGCTGGGGTGAGCAGATGTGTGCTGCCACCTCCCCGGGAAAAGTCCACACAACAAGGTCCTCTCAACTATTCTCAGTGAAGTCAACATATTCCTATTTGAGATTCTGCTCCCTCCCCTAAACAGCCCTCACTGGTGAAACAGAAGGGATGGCAGGACCGGAGAACAGGAACTTCTGGCCTTGGGCACTTCCCTTCGAAGGAAGAGTTACCACTGGCAGACTTCAGTACCTGGTGATTTGGAGTCTCTTACCTGGAAGGACTTTGGATGCATGGTGGAGGCTGGGAGCCTAGTCACCCTGCTGCGTTGCTCTTAGCCCGCCCTACCTGAAAGCAGCAGCCAGAGCTCCCCACGCATGCTCTCCGGGATGCCCTTCAGCACTAGCTCCCGCGTCTTCTCTGTGCGGTACATGCAGATGCCCTGCCCATACTCAGCAAAGTGAATCTTCCAGGCTTGTTCTTTCAAAAACTCCTTGGCCTGAAAGACACAGAGGAACACGACTGGTCCCCCAGGAGCCTCCGAGGGGAGGTCCTGAGGGGACTGTAATGACAGATGATCAGACCATTATCCCTGAGCAGAGCCTGAGCAGAGCTGCAGAGGTCAGCTTTCTTTCCTAACTAGCTGTTCTGAAAAGCCTGCTTTGTCACCAAGCCTTCTCTTCAGTAGCCACTTTAGCGGTAGATTAGTATTTAACAGTGCTATCCACAAGTGTGGTTTTATGTGTATATCCCCATAGGAATGTGAATTGGTGACTTTTAAATGTGGGCTGAGAAAGCACATACTTATTTGTTTTTTTCTTTTTTGCTGGAATACAGCAAGTTTCAGGGGAAAGGAAGAGGTGCCTACCAGTTTTGGGTTGAATTCTTCAGGCGATCGCCGCCGGTACATGGTCATGAGGGTCTGTGTGGCTGTGGGCACACTGTTGCCGTTGAGGTTGAAGGGGCGCTCCCCATCAGCATCCGAGCTGGTGCTTCTCTGGGGACTGGAGGAGACAAGGCTGCTGGGCCGAGAATATACCTGTCCATTGAGAGGGACACATGTGAATGGACCTGGCAGCACAATCTACTTTACTGTGTCTTTTGCACAGATATTAACAGCTAGGTTATGTCTTCCTAGTTGCTATGTGACAAAATGGGAAATGCCAACATGTCAACCCCATGTTGAAAGAAGTTATACTGGGGTAAAAGTCATCAACTATAGTGTATCAGTGCCCAAAATAGGAGCAGGCCTGTATGCAGCTGGGAGGGGGTTTGTTTATTATGTGCAAGTCCCTGGGTTTCATCCCCAGCAACATGTAAACTGGGCGTGGTGGCACATGGCTGTAATCCCAGTACGAAGGAGGTGGAGCCTATAGAATCAAAGTTCAAGGTCATCTTCAGCTATGCATAGCAAGTTCCAGACTATCCTGGTCTACATGAGATATTTGTTCAAAAAAAAAAAAAAACAAAAAAAAAAAACAAAAAAAAACAAGAGCCTGTGTGGGCTGCAGAGTAAGCTCAGGGCCAGCCTGGAGAACTTAGTGAAGTCTGGGGCGATAGCTCTGCCTAAAATGTGTGAAACATAAATTCAGGCTTCAGTACCATAAAAAAGGGGGGTTGGTTGGACCATGTGATCTTGACTGGATCTTCAGGGTAGTAGTTCTCAACCTGTGGGTTGTGACCCTTTTTGGGGGGATCAAATGATTTTTTTTCACAGGGGTTTCCCAAGACCATTGGAAAACAGATACTTATGTTACAATTCATAACAACAGAAAAAAATGACAGTTATGAAGTAGCAACAGAAATAATTTTATGGTTGGGGTCAGCACAACGCGAGAAACTGTACTAAAGGGTTGTAGCAGGTGGGAACCGCTGCCCTAAAGTTGCGGTCAAATACCAAGTCCACAGATCTGAAGACAGGCTGAGCGCTGGGCACGAGCTGGGGGCTTGCCCTAGCTGTTAACTTTGACATTCAAGCCAGGCCTAGTGGCACACCTGTACTCCCAGCACTCTGGGAGGCAGAGGCAGGCGGATCTCTGTGAGTTCAAGGCCAGCCTGGTCTACAAAACAAGTCCAGGACAGCGAAGGCTACACAGAGAAACCATGTCTTGAAAAACAAGCAAGCAAACAAAGAAACAAACAAAACAAAACAAAAACTGGCACTCAAACAAGTTGGACAAGGAGGTGCGCACTCCAGGGCTGAGCGCAGGAGCTGTCTCCCACCAACCTCGTCATCTGAGCTGTTGCAGCTTCCCAGGAACTCTTTGTCTGAGTAGATCCTGGACGTCGTTTGCTGCAAGAAATCGGAGATCCTTTGTACCAGAAAGTCTCTGTCTTTCAGGTTGGCGAACAGAAACGTCATCCTGTTCCTGGTGCTGATGGACAGGGGGCTGGGCAGCACACTGCAGCTGTCGGCCTTCTCTACGATGGTGACCTGAGGGAACAGGAGGCAGGGGTGCTGCATGGGAAGGACTGTGAAGGCAGCCCATGCTGAGAGGGCAAGGAACTCGGATCCCCATTCCCCAGGGAAGCCATTTGTCTTACACAAATGGCGATCCTCCCATTTCTACTCCAAATAAAACATAAATCAAACTGGAGTCTCTAAGAGAAACCAGAATTATTGTTCTGTGCTTTCCCAGACCAGCGGACAATTTTCAGCAACCATGGGCATATTTGGTTGTCAGCAGCGGAGAAGTGACAGCTGCCGAGTCAGGGAGGCTCCCAGACACTCCGTGGGGCGCAGCTCTGCGGTAATAACTGGCCCCGGATGCCAACGGTGCCAAGATGGAGAACTGGAAAGGAATTCTCCCTTTTCATTAAAATTTCATGGAACCAAAGGAGACAGGTCTAAGTGCTGTGTCATCGGAAATGCTGAAAGCAATTCCATTGCTGACTCCTTTTACTAAGTAAAGGCTTCGATGGCTTTCAAAATGGCACCAGTCCGCTGGGTGTATCACGAAGACGGCAGGGCTTGGCATCCTGTGCACGAGCAGACAGGATGTAAGCAACTCGGCTGAAGCCCTACGTACACCTTCAGGCTCTGTGTGTGTGTTCACATGTTTGTGCGCACGTGTCTGTGTGCATGCGTGTGTTTGTGTGTATGTATATCTGTGCAAGTGTGTTTACTCAAGTCTACTATAGTGTGAAAGAAAAAGGAAAGAGAAATATCTGTCTTTGAACTGAAGACGTGTTTCTGTGTGGTTTTTTGGTGTGTGCTGTATTTGTAAATATGTTTTTCTGTGTGTGCATGTGGGTGTGTGTGGACATGTGCACACAGGCATGGGGTGGTCGGAAGAGGATTTGGAGGAGCCTATCACTCCTTACCTTACTTTCTGAGACAGGGTTGCTCACTGAACTATGGCTAGATTGGCTGGCCAGGGAGCACAGAGACCCTGCAGCCTTTGCCTCCCCAACAGGAGCCTACTGCCATGCCTGAATTTAAACTTGGGTCCCAAAGGTCCAAACTCAGATCTTCAATCTTGCACATTAAGCGCTTTACTGGGAGCTAGCTCTCAAGCCTGGGGCAGACGCGTTTTAACAGGATTTTCACCAACCCCAAACAAGCATAAATGTACCAAGACTATTTTCTTTAGCACATTAGGAAAAACAAATCTTAAGGCAAACATTGTATGCTGTGTCCATCCTAACTCTAATTTTCTACCTAAAGCTAGAATCTTGTCTCCCCTCATTCTGGGCAGAGCTGAGTTTCAACTGCACATTGGTGCGACTTTGTCCATTCCTGATCCCAAAGTGCATTCCCTTGCCACTTCAGCTAACCGCTCCACTATGTACCAGGTAGAGCCTGGAGGAGAAAATTGTGCTGAGGGGCCAGCAAGATGGCTCAGCAGGTAAAGAGCTTGCCATGCAAGCCTGGGGAGCTGAGCTCCACCGCTGGAGGCAACGTCAAAGTTAGAAGGAGAGAGTCACCTCCACATTGTCCTCTGAGCGCCACTCTTGTGCTGTGGCAGTCACGTCACATCAGGCCCCACTCACACATACACAAGAAATATTTGAAAATTATGCTCAGAACTAAGTGAAAATTTTATCAATCAAGGTGAATTTGCAGGGAAAATGATGAAGCCTGAAGGGACTCTGGCCAGCTTGAATGTGGCAGCATGGCTCTGGCAGGCCTTGCCCTTCTCTCTCACTCCCTCTACAGCCCTAAAGCTAGCCACCAAGGTCTATTCCCTTATTTGGCTGCTTGTAAGGCTGACTACCAAGGTCCAGTGATCAAAAGCCCCCCTTGTCTCACCTAATTAACATGCCCAAGCAAAATATGCGACTGTATCCTAGCCCATTCTGACCTTCCCTTTTCCTCTTCTTAAAAGCAGGGGTCTCCTTCAAAGTCCATTTCTCACTAAGTCTAAACATAATTGATCTTCTCACCTCTGAATTTGTCCCCAGTAAATTATCCTGGTCTCAAAATATGTTATAATACTGAATAGATAAACCTATGACAAAGTGAAGTGAATCTGTCATTTTGTCTGATATTTTGTGTTCTTTCTGATTGACCAGTTCAGCTTCGGGAAATTTGTAATCTATAATTTAAGGAAATCATTCATGTGACTAGGAAAAAACAGCAACCATGAAAAGGTAGAACCTATAGATAAACAGATGGATGCATTATGTATATCCACTTAATGGTCGTTGTCTGTGGATTGTGGAGCCACGTGGGAATTTTGTCTCCTTATATGAACTTTTGCAAATTCGCTAAGACAATAACACAAGGGCTGGAGAGATGGCTCAGAGGTTAAGAGGACTGTCTGCTCTTCCAGAGATCCTGGGTTCAATTCCCAGCAACCACATGGTGGCTCACAACCATCTATAAAGGGATCTGGCACCCTCTTCTGGCATGCAGGTGTACATGCAGATAGAGTACTCATCCGCTTAAAATAATTAAATAAAGCTAAGACAATAACACATCACTCTCAAAATATAAGAAAAAAGAACATTTTTGATTATGCAATTAACTCTTTAGAAACAGAGAGAGGAGCAGCCGAGTGGAACATGACCCTTCCTACCACGAGGCTCTTAGCACGGTGATGATAAAGGGTCCAAAAGCTCTGATCACCTTAACTGAAAAGGACCAAAGCTCACAGGGTCCCAGCTCCTACACTGCCCACCCCAGGCACCATCAATACTCATGGATGGCAAAACAAAAAACAGAGAAAAAAACAAAACAAAACATGACCCAATGTTTTGTTTAAAAAAAATTGTAAAAAAGGCCCTGGAGGGATGGCTCAAAATGTACCGGAGCCCTTGTGTAAACATAAGGACCATAAAGACGAGTTTGATGCCTCACACCCACATACAGCTCTTCTTTAGATGGCCGCATCTGTCTGTAACCTCAGCACTGTGGACAAGTGCATCTCAGGAACTGACTGGCAGCCAACCTAGGTGACCTGGTGACCTTTCTGTTCAGTGATGCCTTGCTCACCGCAGTCAGGTAGAAATGATGGAAGAAGACAACTGACCATAACTTCCTCTGGCCTCTACCTGTGGGCATTGTGCACATACCAGGACACTTTTTTACATGCACACACACACACACATGATTACACACATGTATACACACATGCACAGTAGGTAAAATAAATCCCTGGTTTACACAAAACAAGCATTGTAAGTGGACAGCCACTCGATACTTACTTCACGGAGTGGAATTATGAGGCTGCAGAGGTTTTCCTCCTTGCTGGTAAAGCAGATGTAATTTGTGGAGACAAACATCTGACCCAAAATGTGCATTTTGTTAAATGGAGTCCAGAGGGTGCAGTCAGTGTGCCCATCTAGTTTCTCATCTTTGGGCAGCCGGAAAAGGGCACGGTATCGCTCACTCTTCGCCCTGGCATCCAGGTCACTGCAAACCAATAACTACTGTTCAGCTTACCAAGAAACATGCACCAGTGACTTTTCACTATGGCCATGGAGGGTCCCCAGCGCTCGCCTCTTAGTCTTTCCAGATTCATTCCTCCCGCCCTTAGCTGTATATTTGTAGGACTTCAACCTCAAAGTACATAGTTTTAGCACACCTAGCCATTTTACAATAACTGTAAGTGTTAAAAAATGTTGGGCCAAGTAGGTCAAGTTGGACCGAAAGGAAACTAATTTTCTTTCGAAATAACCTAAGAATTCCAAAAGAGTTCATTAGACTATTCAGAGTCATTCTTGGAGAATTACCTATTTTTGGTGTGGGGAACCTAACAGCAGTGTGAACCACAAAGTGAATCTGCTGGGTGTCACTCCACCCTGAGCCACAGGGCTATGTGAAGAAGCCCTGGAACAGCGCACTTCTAGACATGTCCCTGAGTCTCCTGACTCTAGTATTGTTCCTGCTGACACCCTTTCTCCTGTTCAGAACTCTCCCCTCAGGCCTCCACCTCACGTGTGCCCCACAGAAGAGTTGGTTTGCTGATTGGCTTGGCTTCCCACAGACAGTGAATGCAGAAGAGCCCTCAGCCTCAATCTGTGCTGTCTGTAGAGTCAGCCCTTCTCGGCGCTGAAGCTGCACAGATGGGCAGCTTTTCACATCCTAGAGAGATCTCATTTGAAAACTGCCTTCTTATGCTTTATCCGTAGGCTTCTTTGTAAAGGTACCTATAAAGGCACCCCCCACAAAGGTTTCTCATCAGATTCTCCCATCCAGCCTGTTTTGTTGTACAGCCTTTTCCCCTGGATGGCATCATCCTCTCCTAAAGGAAGAAGGGAGAGTCCTAAGACTCAGAAAGTAAGCAGAACATAGAGGGCCCAGGAAGTATACAAAACTTCCCAGGCTCAGCAATCTCCAGAGACAGAACATTCTCCCCAGATTCCTCCCAGGGATATCGGAGCAGTAACGACTGCTGGGAGAGGGCGCTGCCAATCAGGCTGAGCTGCTCTGGAACACTGTGCAGGTGATGCCAGTGTCCTCCATGGCTGCAGCCTCTGAAGTTGATGCCTATAGCAGAGTGGGTTCCCCGGTGAAAAACCCAAGCTCCCATGAGTGACCCTAATAAACTCACTAGCTCACTAAGCTAGATTTGGGTGAGTCATTTCTTTGGTTTGTCATTGGTGCCATATCTGGGATGAATAGACATTTGTTCCACTCTCTGTAGAAAAAGTCATACAGTATCAAGTATTTTCCAAACTTAAAACAAAAGCATTTCTTCTCGCCTTGGATTGCTTTTGATTTTTACTAGCTATATAGTTCTTTGAGGCAATTAATAAATCCGTTGTCTACTACAATGTCAAAACTCAAAAGAAACCTCTTGATGTTATGCTTTTCTTTTCATACTCCCACTGCCACTTGCGTATCAACTCCACCTTCATGAGCCTACAGGAATGACCTCCATCCTGATGTCCTGTACACAACTCCACTCCACATAATCAAAACTGACCTCTCGTATGCTCTGGACACACTCTTCCTCGACTCATTTCTCATCTTAAGGAAGGGCAAGTCTGTGTAGGCCATCAACCTCAAAAGGTGTTGGCTTTCTCTCAACCTATCCTGCCTCTACTCTCATACCCCCCCCCCTTTCCAGGCTTCCCTGCAATTCCTCCGCCATGCCCTGGCCACTGACCTACTGCTCTTGGTGTTTCTCCCTGGGGCCTCCTCCATGTGTCCATCCATCTGCATCCAATGTCCACTTTTCTGTAACCCATGAGCCCTGCCCAGAGTGGCTCCAATGAGAGGTCACCTGGGTAACTGTCTTTTACCCTGTACCCTATCCTGAGTACTAGCAGAGATGCCCTGTGGTGGAGAAAAATGGTCATGCCTATCTCTCCCTTGACCTGGCATGGCTTGGGCAGTTTTTCGCTATTATTCAGGACAGTGCTCACAAGCTGGAAGTCAGTCAGAACTCAGTGCCTGAGTGAACTGAAAGGGTTTCCATTCCTGAGTTCTAAAGTCTCTCTCACCCACCGTTTCAGAGCAGACACTTTTTTGGGAGATTTCTTCTTGAGTTTCGGCAGAGACCGGTCTTGTTCAAATCCTTCATTGTCTAAGAGCTGCCTCATGGCTATGTTGGCAAGCTGTTCCATCAGCTTGAATGTCTCGTTGATGTTGAGGAACACAGAGAAGAAATGCTCACTGGACCGAGTGCTCACTTTGATCACATCTGGCAGAAGCAGCGTGGCGCTCTTCTCCAGTTGAGTGACATCCACCCACCGGATCACCAGCTTGGCTGAGCACAGACAACAAAGCTGGGTCAACACTTACTTTCAGTGTCATTCCCACAGCCCTGCCCCCAACCTGCCCAACTCTTTTGAGCTCCTATCTTTTGTGTCTCATTTGTTAGTTATCACTTGTATTACATAAACACTGGGATCAGAATTACTGGATTGAAATCATGTCTACTAAACCAACTATACCTTTAGTGAACCTTAGTACTCAATGAATAACTTTTTGCAATTATTGAATTGAAAATAATTGAATTCACTCAGTAAGTAGTTAGGAAACAGTCTTGACTTGCCTCTACATACACATTTTTTGGTGTTCTGATTGAGTTTATGAATTTGGGGAAAGCCTTCATGGGCTTTCCAAGGGCTCCCGCTGAAACGCTAGACCACTCACCTTCCCGCCCCATTAGGAAGGAGGAGAAGCACAGGTGGTTGATGCTGAGATACATCCAGCCCTGCCGCGGGACCTTCCCTTTCCAGTAGCTGCATGAGTAATAGTTGACGAGTTTCTCTTCTTCGGGCATCCCAAATAGCCTATGGAACTTCACGATAGCCTCTTTAAACTTCTCTGTATCATCATCTTCTTTCACATCATTGATTTTGTTGTATTCTGCAATGATGCCCTAATTGGGAATAAAGCAAACAGATGGGTGAACATAAGACTGCAGCTGAACATATCAGAATAAAACAATTTCTAAGACCACATTTGTTTCAATGATCAATTCTCTTCAAAGGTAATCCATCAAATTCCAGGTTTCTGGTTAGTTCCAGGTTGGCCTAGAACCACCTATGCAGTCCAGCCTGGCATTGGATTCACTGTGATCCTGTTTCAGCTTCCCAAGAATCTCTATGTCAAGCCAATTAACAATTAGTATTTGTGTACTAAAAGATTCTCAAAGGGTTTTAGTGCATGTCCATTGCTAGTCATTAATTTCTTATGCCCACTAGAAATTAAGCTGTTTTATTTTAAAAATAAGGAAATATAAGCACTTTCCCACTTAATTTTTTTCTAAGCACATCATGACACAGTTAATTTCTGGCTTTTTTTTTTTTTTAATTTACCTTAGAAGGCCAAGGGAGAAGAGACTGAATATAAGTAAAAAATGAACATCTCTGTCCAGAGACCCACTGCCTCAGCGGTCATTTGAGCCGAAGATGAGTGAATATGAGAAGTTAATTAGACACAAAATTCTTTGACAGCTGTACAGGAGATAAAATATTTGCATAGCCAAGTGACTAGTCATCTAAATCCTATATTGAATCATCCTGGTAGCCTGAGAAGCCGTTTAGCTATTAGCCAGATCCTCTGTACTTTCCTGAAGTCTGTGTTTGTGCATCTCTTTAGAGAAGAAACTTCCTTGGGCTGGAGAGATGGCTCAGTGGCCACAAGCACTTGCTGCCAAAGCTGATGACCTGAGTTCAATCCCCAGGACCCACATGGTGGAAGGAAAGACAGGCTCTTGCAAGTTGTGTCCACATGGGCACTGTGACACACATGACAATACACACAAGTGTGAGCTTTCACATGTACATGCGCATACACACAAAATTATTTTTTTTAAAGAAAGGGTTCCCTTGGATTCCATGATTGATTTGTAATCATCAAATCTGCCCCTACTTCTTCATTTTCCATGACCTCATTGTCACTGGAAGCCTGAGCTTCAGAGTATGGCAGCTGTGAATTCAGGTCCCAGGGTGTCACTTGTATTTGTGTGAACTTAAAAAAACACTGGGATTTTCTGAGACAGGACTGAGTCCTTCAGCATCCTTATGATAAAAACTTAACAGGATCATTGTATCTACAATTCCTGGCTTTCAGGCTATCTACTGGGTACTCATTCTTCCAGTATAGATTTAATACTCCCCACAAACATTTTCTTAAAACAAGCTTTTGAGGGACTGTAGCTATCTGGGCCAGCTGGTAATGTGGCTGCTGTGCAAGCATGAGGACTGAATTTTATTGCCCAGAACCTGTGTGGTTATTGGCTGTGGAGGTTTGTTCCAGTGTTTCATTCCTCTGGTGATGTAGAGACGGGAAGATCCCGGGGGTTCTGGGGTCAACTTGTCTAGCAGAATTACAGAAAGACAGTCTTTCAAAAAATAAGGTGGAGAGCACCCAACATTGCTCTCTGGCAAGATACACATGTTCATGCACCCCCCCCCCCAAACATACACACAAAACAAAACAAAACAAAACAAAACAAAACAAAACAAAGCAAAAGAAACCTGATTTTGGAAACTCAGCACTTATGAGCACTTGTATTGCAGAGGACTGGGGTTCAGTTCCCAGCACCTGCATGGCAATTCACAACTGTTCCTAACTCCAGTTCCAGGAGACCCAGCTTCCCCTTCTGGCCTCCACAGGCACCAGGCACATATGTGATATATAGGACATAGCCACACATGTAAATACCCATATACAAAAAATAAATAAAACCGATTAAAAAACAGTTTGACTACACAACTCATATTATGCATGACCTGAGCAGTTTGCTACTTTTGTCGCACAGAAAGTACTGCGCCATGTTCTCTTAGAATACAATCAGCACTGCAGCTGTTTTCTTCGGTGAACACTTTTCCATGAAAACTCCGCCCCAGGCAGCCCAAGGTACCCTCTGGGCCTACAGGTGTCACTTAGAATTCTCCCACCTTCTCCTGAGGTCCTGTCAGACTTGCCAACCTCCAGTCTGGCTTAATTAATTAACCAAGTCTGGCTTAGTTAATTCCCCCTCCCCCGTGAACCTCTCACATGCAGCAATGGTGCTTTTCTGCTTCATATATTGAAATCATTTCCTGAATTTTATGGCCGTTGCCACCCTTTCCTCCCTGTGGCCTGCAGTGGTGGCAGTGAGGGACAGTGGCAGAAGAGAGGGTCTCAGTTTTCCAAAAGTTATCACCATTCAGGTGATGACCTTGGACACACAGCAACAGTAAACAGTAGATTACTGCGGTGGCTTCCTGTCAAGATTCCACCCCCACTCAGGCTTTTTACAGCTGTCTTCGAAATGGAGCCTTGACAACAACATTCCTACCGAAGCCCACGCTGGATCCATACCATACCATCACTCCCTGACTATTACCCTCCCGAATCAACCTTTCCTCCCCGTCAAACTCAGAGACACTTAATTTCATCTAAATGTCCTCAGTTCTATGCTCTTTCAATTTACGCTGGTGGAAAAATTTTGCTTATATTTTCCTCAACTGCTAAATATGAGTTCCAAGACTAACAATAGTGTCTTGAACATTTGACTAATGATATCTAACATCTAAAAGGTATTCAGTGAAATAGTCTTACAAAACATGTTGTGTTCTCAAATTAGAATATATCTTAAAGAGCCATACTTTGTTTTTTATTGTATGATACCAGCTGTGGATCGTGACTCTACAGTGTTTCATAGTGAACCATACTTAAGAAACTAAACTTCTAGCTGTGAACTCCGTCTGTCATGATCCAGGGTAGCAGTATGGCTGGCATCAGAACTGCCAACACCCTTCCCTGGTAGAATATCTAAGGTAAGAATTCTTTCCTTTAATTAGTTCTGCTACTAACCTTCTGAGGAAGAGTCCAACAGAGATGCTGAGCTCTGTGGAGGCCAAGGAGTTGGCCCTAGGTTACTCTAATCATGAGCAGGCCTCAGTAGAGAGTCACATGAAGGACAACAGACAACCAGAGGCAGCATGAGGCACTGGATCACCGGGTGGGAAGAGTTCAGAACCATCTCGATGAGTCTGAGGCCAGCCTGGGCTACATGGTAACTTCTGGGCTAATCTGGGCTACAAAGTTAAAAAAAAAAAAAAAAAAGGAAAAGAAAGGAGAAATGAAAGAACACATACAACCAAGAGGAGAATTCAGTAATGGGAAGTAGTGTCAGGGTTTCCTAGGCAACCCCAGTGGCCGAGAATCTGCTCGGAAACCTCAGGTGGGCTTATGTTTGTTGTTCTGGACCACTGTGGCAGATCTCTTACCAAAGTCAGATAGGAAGAACATTAAAACTGTAAGTGATGTGTACATATAAGGCCCTGTGTTTTTGGGTACAAAAACACTATGGTAAACACCAACATCTAGAATGTTCACTTAAAAATGTTTTTGAGCATGAATAGATTTATGAATGTATGAAACTAAGAAATGGTAGCTTGAAACACTATGGGGCTTAGTGTACATTCATCAACAGACCAATCAACAGCCCCCGCTTCCAACTTTCCCACCTTTAGGAAAAGACAGAGTCTGGAATGCCAAAGCTTTCTTTGGCTTTTCCATGAGTGTTCAGCCAGGAGGCCAGGTTGATGGAACACAGGGATGGAATATTTCTTTCCTCTAAGTTCTGTGGATTCTTTTTAATCTAGAATAAGTCACTCTCGTTCTAGACAACAACTCTTCACAATGCCAGAATTTGATCTACCTAGCACATTGGATGCCTAATATTAATTTAAATATGTAAAGGTATATTAAAAGCATGAAATTAACCAATTAAACCAGATGCTGGCCAACCAGCCTCTGTGGTGCATGCTGTAATCTGAGCACTTGGGAGGCAGAGGCAGACAGATCTCTGTGAGTTCAAGACCAGCTTCATCTACACAGTAAGTTCCAGACACACCAGGACTACATAGTGAGACAAAACAAAACACCAAATCTGCATAAAACAGACAAACAAAACTTGGTAAACTCAATAAAATGTTTAGCTTCATAATTAAGGACAAAAAATGTATAACATTAAGACCTTAACCTTCAAGGCCATTTCAACAATGGGCTGCAGGGATGGCTCAGGTTAAGAGCAAGTAACCTGAGCCACTGCTGGAAGAGCAACTGCTTTTCCAGAGGACTCAAGTTCAGTTACCAGCATACCATCAGGTGGCTCACAACTGCTTGCAACTTCAGCTCTGCACATGCCGGCACTCATGGGCACATAGCCTACCTGGACCCAAGCACATACACAGAATTATAATAACAAAATAAGTCTTTAAAAGCTTGTAAGTGTGAAAGCAAGCACACAAGGATTACACCATATTACAACATATGCTTATGGTCCATTAAAATGTTTTGGTTTATTAAAATGTTTTCATTACTTCATGTATTAATCTCTATTCCAAAGGAGAGTAGAGAAATACAATTTGTGGCAAATGTCATGAGCTAAAGTGGAAAGTCTGTTTTTAATTGCATCTGCTTATCCCTGCTAATTTAGAAGCAGAGGTAAGGTCTAGGAAGACAAAGTAAAGTTAATAATGGAGTTATATTCTGTTATTAAAACAGTTGTAATTACATAAATATGGTAGATACTGGTCAAGGCAACAAAGAGCAGAGTACCGAATCACAGGTGCACAGGGTACTATCATTATGAAACATCCAGAAACAAGTATACTAAATGCTACGTGTAGCATTTAGCACTTGAATTCCTGTTGCCTGTATAGTTAATAATTGCATTTGTAATGTATAAAACTTAATTAGATCTCACAACAAATAAGCCTGTTAGTTCCCTTAATTATTGGACAATCTGTGAACCAGTAAGCCATTCATTTGCACATGAATGACATTCTTTCACACATAATTGCATTAATGGGAATTCCCTCGTCATAAATGGTTTCAGGGGAAATAAACTTGACATATTTAATGTAGTGAGAAGGAAAACTATTTGACATAATTTGTCTTTCCTTCCTTCGTTTGTTACCTAACTATTGTCCCTCAAAAGCTACAGTTTCTTCCTCTACCGAGATGACAGTCCCGGAGGCAGGACTGTGGAGTGGCCCCTGGTTACCTATGCTAGCTGGCTATGCTCTTTCATGCAGCTCCTCATACATGCTATAATTAGCAACTCTCCTGATCGCAGGTAGTCACATACATGAACAGATCTGAGTTTCATCAACACAATTCTCAATTATTACACACACACACACACACACACACACACACACACACACGCACAATTGAAAGTTGCCTCTAACTGGTCCTTCCCAATGTGTTACCTTTTCTTGAGTCTGTAATAGAGAATCCTAAACAGAGAATGTGCAGGCCTCAGACCTGAGACAGATTCTGTCTTTAAATAACAAAGAAAGAAACAAGCAGGGGTAGGCAGCATTTGAGGAATGATACCCTAAATTATCTTCTGGCCTTCACACTCACAGCCACACACACTTACACACACAGACACACACACAGACACACATGCATCATTCAAGAAAATAAGACCCTAAAGTCCTTGAAGAAGATAAACATACACACAGAGGTGTGTGTCCTTAACAATACGAAACGCAACCCACATTTTCACAAAGGTGCATCCAGCACTGGTGGCACCATCTCCCTCTCCTGTAACATGGGCAGAAATTGGAAAGATGGAGATTCTACACTGCTGGAGAAGCTGTGGAGAAGGCAGGGCTGTCAAACATGCCAGAGGGCATGTAAAACATACAGCACCCTGAAGGGGAATGGAGAATAATTAGCAAGACAGCACACGCATTTACCCTTCGGCCTGGCAATTCTCCTCCTGCAAGGTCACTCTAAAGATACGGGCCCCGTCATAAGCAAGCACAAATGCATGGAATTCTAATTGCAGCGGAATTTATAGCTGCAGGATGTTGGACGGTACCTAAATATCCAAGCGCAGGTATTGGCTGAGCCAACTACTGCACACACACACCAAACACAGAGATGCCAAATGAAAGAGGAGATGAAGTCTGCAAGTCTGGATTGAATTGTGATAGGAAAAAATGTGGAATTTTCAAAATGATGAAATTGAATAAAGTGTGAAGTTAGCAGTAATCTGTTCATGTCAATGTCCTATTTTAATAAAACCATAATTTACAAGCTATCACACTGAAGAAAGAACAAGTCAAAATTTAAAATTCATGAATGGATACTACACCAACATGGAAAATTTGATTTTTAAAAATTGGATATTTGTGGCTTAAATGTCTTCCTATAGAAATATCATTTGTAAACGTAAATGTATGAATTCTACACGTTTGGATAATGCTTTGAATGGGTTTATAACACCAGTGAGTGGCAGATGAGTATCATGTGCTTCAGGACACAACAGCCCCAAGGAGGATGCAAGATTGCTTATGTAGCCCTCCATCCAGGAAGGCAAGACTTGAATTCAATCACAGAGAGACATCTGACAGAACCCCAAATGAAACATCCTTTTACAAAAACCAGAAGTACACACTTTAACAACATTAATGTCAAGACACATGAGGAAAAGCTGTGGAAATGTTCCAGACTGAAATAGATTAAGGAGATGCAAACTAAATTTGGTTCCCTCATATACTGAAACAACAAAGCCATCAAGGGTACGATCAACCCCATTTAGATTAGAAGATATGGGTCTGGGGAGATGGCTCAGCACTTAGGAGCACTGGCTGCTCTTGCAGAAGACTTCGGTTGGTTCTTGGCACCCACGTGAGAGCTCACACGCATCTGTAACTCCAGTTCCAGGGCCTCCGATGCCCTCTTTTGACCTTGGAGGGCACCAGGCACACATGAAAGCAAAACACTTCTACACACAAAATTATTATTATTATTATTATTATTTTGTTTGTTTGTTTGTTTTTGTTTTGAGACAGGGTTTCTCTGTGTAGCCATGGCTGTCCTGGATTCACTCTGTAGATCAGGCTGGCCTCAAACTCCAGAAGATCTTCCTGCTTCTTCCTCCCCAAGTGCTGGGGTTACAGGTGTGCACCACTGTGCCCTGCTATAAATCTATTTTTTAATTAGAATATATGCTAAATATTAAAGTGATTTATAATTATACACTTACATACATTGCTAAATAATGTTTAGCTTATATTTTTCAGATATCGCTATTGGAAAACACACACTGAAGGATTTTAGAGGAAGCTCCTCTCAAACATTAGTTAGCCCTAAGAATCCTAAACAAGTTGGATGGAATGTTATCAGCTAAGTCTGAATGAAGGGCACAGGTGGGTTATATACAGTTCTTATTTTTGCAATATTTCTGGAAATTTTAGAGTTTTCCAATTAAAAGGCTTTGGTCTGTTAAATTTTTTTTAATCCTTTGAGAATTTTATACACATATACTACATATTTCTTTTTTATTGTGTTTTTGTTTTTCATGGCAGGGTTTCTCTGTGTAGCTTTGGCTGTCCTGGACTCGCTTTGTAGATCCAGCTGGCCTTGAACTCAGAGGTGTGCCTGCCTCTGCCTCCCTGAGTGCTGGGATTACAGACATGCACCGTCACCACCTAGCTGCATAATAACATTCATCCAAACCAAAAGAGAAATGCTACCACCTGTATTTTTCCTCTTACAAATGTGGTGATGTCATTCTCATTCTCGAAGATGGAGAGTGTCTGCAAAAGATTCTGTTCAAGCCATTCCCAATGCTCAGTAACCTCCTTCCTGGAACCACCTGCATGAAAGCAGACAAGACAGCAACAGTTATCAAGTTTCTTGCCAAACACATTAAGAATCAAACCTACTTTATCAGCATTCAGCACCAGCAAAGGAGACTGTTGGCCATTCCCAGAGTTCTGACTTTAACCCTCTGGGGAAGAGACACATGAGACAGCAAATATATGGACACCCAAGAGCAAGTACCATGTTCTAGAGTGTTCCAATTAGGTCAGTCCAGAAACTGAGGCTGTTCAAAGCTGACGGAGCCACATACACCACATGGATCTTTGTGAGCTGGGAGTTTAGCTCTTTTCTTCTCCATTCTAGAATATGCAGTTTACAGGGCAACATGAATCTTGACGTGGCTTCCTGCGGTGAAGCTTCAACACTGTGCCCGTGTAGATCTTATGGGGCCATCTCATATAATGGGCAAAAATGAGCCTTGTTCAATTATGAATGAGATGTGAAAGTAGTCTATCACTGGAGTACAGCAGCAATCCCTCCTTACAGCAGCTGCCTTGAAACACAGAGATGAGGTCATACTTGTGGCTTCCAACCAAGTCACTACATTTCTGTCAGTTGCTAAGAAACACATGCCACCTCACTCAGAAACCTCCAAATAAGCCATCTAGTCTTGTGATAGATACCTAACAGGTACTGTCAGGATGAGGTTAGACAATGCTAGAATAAATTCCCCTTATCATGATCTTATGGGAAAAAAGCTTTCTTGATGAACTACCCACAGTTATGCATCTTGAGTGAGTGAGCTTGTGGTTTCATTGATTCTTTGAGTCCTGCCTAAGATTCCCAAGTTATTTTTTAATTAAGATCACAAGAATGACCATTTTTTCAGTTCTCTGTCACAAGTAATTCAAGATATTGGATGCTGATTTCCAACAAAGGAAGAAAAGTAAGTGTAATCTGAAATTATACTCAGATTTCCAGTCTCTGAACTGAAATATCTTCAACACTGATAGGCATGCTGAAGGGACTTCAGGACCACTGTTGGAAGAAAGACAAAAAGAAGAGGGAAACCAAAGTTCATTTTCTTTTACTTTAGGACTAGAGAGCAAAATGGCTGACAGCGGATGCTTATATGGGGCTGTTGCGGGTGCTCAGCTAACACATGTAAAGCCGCCCATTCAGTCCCAAGGACTGCTTTCATAAAGGGTAATAAAAAGGTTTTTCAGCACAGAAGTCGTGTGAGACCCTAAACAACAGATCTTCTGCATCATCAGTATTTTCCATGGCTCTGGCCAAGAGCAAGTGCATGTGAGAGCAATATGAAGACTACGCAATGTGGCAATAATACCTGTAACTCAAGTCCCCCTGGGACCCTCCACCTGGCTAGCACTACTTAGCTGTCTTCAGACAATTTTTAAAGTCCATCTCAAATTCTCTACAGATAAAATGAACAACAATGGCATCTTCTTCTCACCTCAGACTAGCCCTGTGAAAACTACAAAGGAGAGTGTCTGCAGACACAGAGTAGAAGGTAGGGAATTCTTTCAAATTCCAAGTGTAATGATTATTTGGAATATTTAGGAAACTAGTCAATTTGGTGAGTTTGACAGAATTTTTAACCCTTTTGAGTAATAAATTTAAATAATAATTGGAAAATTTTCTTTAAAAAATTTCAAAACGAAACCCTGGGTCTCTGATACTCTGGTGGTTATCTCTTCAAACTGTATGAATTTCTCACTGAAAATCTGAACCCTTTTCTGTCAAGGTCATTAACAGACCATGAGCTGTGAGATGCAAGGACACCTTGCAGAGGGAATGCCAACCAAGTGCCCACCATCCTGCAGTTCCATCTGTGCTTGTTGGCATGGCCAGATGCAACAGACCTTAGAAAAGAGGTGCACCGAGAGATGCACAGGACTGTGGGCCTCTGCACAGGTACGCTATACAGCTCCTGGCCTCTGCTTCTGCCTCTTCAGCACTTCATCTTATGTCTGTCACAAAAGTGCCAGAAGCTGTGTGTGGCTTAGCAATGGAGGTCTGCTTCTTGAATGGTATCATAACACACTTTGCCTTTACAAGACAAGACAGTATGACCTTTTCACACATTCTCTCTCTCTCTCTCTCATTTTCTGTGTATGTGTGTGTGTGTGTGTGTGTGTGTGTGTGAGAGAGAGAGAGAGAGAGAGAGAGAGAGAGAGAGACAGAGAGAGAGAGAGAGAAGTCAGCCTTGGGTATCATATCTCTGATGCCATCTACATTAGTTTTGAGATAGGCTCTCTCACTGGCCTGGAAGAAATTTCTTTAGTTTTTTTTTTTTTTTTTTTTTTCCTGTTGCTGTGACAAAATATTCTGATAAAAGCAACCTAAGGGAGAAGGGCTTTTTGTGGCTCACAGTTCAAGCATACAGTGGAGCACAGCAGGGAAATCAAGGCCGCAGGAACTTGAAGGAAGTTGACCTAAGTCTCATCAGCAGTGTGAAACAAACAGTGGTGAATGCAGTGCTGTGGCTCAGCTTCCTTTCTCTATTTACACAGTCCAGAATCTCAGCTAGGGAATGGTGCCACCCAAAGTGGGTGAGGTCTCCCACCTCACTTAACAGAATTAAGAGAGTCCCACACAAGAATACCCAGAGGCCCATCTCCCAGGTAATTCTAGAGCCTGTCAAGTTATCACGTTGACAGAAAATACTACATAGCATGGGACAAACCAATGAGGCTTGGCTGGAGTTATCCTCTTCCCCACAACAGGATTATAGGCACATGCCACCACACACACATCCATCACGTGGATGCTGGGGATTAAATCCATGTCATCAGGCTTGTACAGTAAACATTTTATTAACTGCACTATCCCCTCAGACCAATATTTACATTCCCTGTTACACCGACATGATCTGGCCCATTGGCTCTGCTCAACCGCAATGTTCCTTGGTTATCATGAGTTGAAAACACTTATCAGGTTTAAGGTTTAAGGCAGAACAGACATGTCTTTGCTTTGCACAGCTCTGGACTGCTTTTGATATTTTCTTTATCCAGAGCTACGTATGTACGGCTTGACCTCACGCATACCCACAGTGGGAATAGTGTGTGCATGCACACATTAACTTGACAGACATCTACCCACGCCCCATGATGCCTTAACATCCTTGTCTAAAGCCTGATGTCCAGCATGGTGGCACATGCTTAGAGTCCTAACACTCAGGAGGCTCAGGCAGGACTGTTGTGAGTTTGAGGCCAGCCTGGACTACACACTAAGACTGTCTCAAAAGTGAGTATGGGAGTGCATGTGACATGGCCCAGCAGGTAAAGTAGCTGCCAAACCTGATGATCACCAGGACCTGCCGGGTGAAAGGAGAAAACCCATTCCCACAAGCTGTCCTCTAATCTCCACACACATCCATGACACTATAGTGCCCAGTAATACCACAGCTATTATTTTTTGAAGTGACCTGACAGGAGGCGCTTTCACCACAACTGGCAGGACCTGCTCTATTCATGGAGCAGTTTGTACAAAATGTGTTTAAACTCAGAAGTGAAAGAAAGGGATTGGTTGTTAATTTTCTGGAAATATCCCATTTACTGACATAGAGGAAGGAAAATGAGCTGAACCATCGGCTTAGTTAGAAAAACAAAGACAGAGAGAGTTCAGAGTGAAGGTCATCCAGACAAAGAGTTCTGCTGAAAAAAAAACAAGGCTCACATTTGATGTCCTTCATGTTGTTTAGACATTAACTTCTGAAAGATGAGACACTTCATCATTCTGAGGATTTACCTACTGTCAGCAGTGGGCCTCACACACGTGCCTGGCAACTTTTCCATGCTATGTTTGATGATGATGATGAAAAACATTGAATAGTTCTCATGCAGTTTAAAATATTTCTGCACGTCCATGGCACATACTTGAAATCAGAAGAGAGGATGGTTAAGACAGCACTACAGAGTGACTATTGTGCATGGCCTTTAAGGACTACGAACAAAGGTTTATGGCCCTGTGGATCAAATATTAAGTGGCTATTTCTTGTGTGATACTGACAAGCAATATATGTTGGACTTTGGTCTTAAAACCACAGCACCACCCTGATAATTTCTCAGTGTTGAGGTATGTGTGAAGAGACACAGAGAGAATATGTTTATCTGTATATTAAAACAAACAAACAAACAAACAACCTGTATTACACCAAATGGAAAGTCCACTTCTAGGGATTATAAACAGCAGTCTGGTTTTGCAGATTTGGAACAGGCTCAATGGATCTCTGACATGTTTTAGTCTTCAAATATAAATGAAACCAATATATTACTTGTAGTTTTCTGAAAATGCAACCATAGACACAATGAGGACTGTTTTGAAATTAACACACCAAGTGAAGGCAAGAGAAGCACGCAACACCCTGCACGCTGCAGTACAAACGGCCTGCCGTCATTGGCCCTCTCTCTGTCTCTGTCTCTGTCTCTGTCTCTGTCTCTCTCTCTCTCTCTCTCTCGCTGTCATAGCAAGGTGTGGTAGTGCATGCCTGTAAACCCAGCACTTGGGGAGGCAGAGACAGGCTACATAGAATCCCTCTCTCAAAAAACCAAAACCACCACCACCACCACTACCGCCACCACCGCCACCACAGCCACCACCGCCACCACCACCAAGATGCTGTCATGTAGTGTGGGTCCGCTTCAAACTCAGTATATCAGTAAACAGTCAAGGGTGACTTTGATCTTCTGTTCTCCCTGCCTCAGTCTCCTGAGTGCTGAGATAACAGGCTTGTACTACAGCACCTGGCTTTATCTAGTGTATGTGGAAACAGGACAAACTTATATTCAGAAAAGGCAAAGCGCGCGCGCGCGCGCGCACACACACATACACACACACACACACACACACACACACACACACAGTGTTGTGACTTGAAATGTTTTTAGAAGAAGAAAGGAAGTCTACCTTCTCATGTGGTTAAAGCTATCCTAAACCATCTAAACAAATGATAAAGACAACATTCTACTACTTGCCCTTCTTGATGCCAGCTTAGGACAGAGTTGGTCCTGTAAGTAGGAGCATAATAAT